TTTTCGTGTCCAAATGAGCGGTGTGCAACTTTTCATGTCCAAATGACCGGTGTACAATTTTCGGTGTCCAAATGAGCGGTGTGCAACTTTTCGTATCCAAATGAGCGGTGCGTAATTTTCGGTGTCCAAATGAGCGGTGTACAACTTTTCGTGTCCAAATGAGCGGTATGCAACTTTTCGTGTCCAAATGAGCGGTGTGCAACTTTTCGTGTCCAAATGACCGGCGTGCAACTTTCGGTGTCCAAATGAATGGTGCGCATTTTTCTCGTGTCCAAATGCACTGAATCCAAATTCATCGTGTCCAATTGCACCGTGTCCAATTGAACCGTAGGCAAAATTTTGTGTCTAATTGCAATGTGTCCATTTGCTCCGTGTCCAATTGTACCGTGTCCAAGTGAGTGCCACTCGGTTTATGATACCAGTCGAAAATAATTGTGTTATTACGTATTAAAAAAGTGGTGTCTAAAAAGTTAATACTGTCATCTCCTATTTCAATTGTGAACTGCAGCCGAGGATGAAACGAATTAAAAATGCGCAATATGTTATCTAAAAACTTCTTAGGAGCCGCTAAAAGAATATCGTCAACATATCTAAAATAAAAAAGCAATGTCAGGAATCATGTTAATAGCTCTTTCTTCCAAATCCTGAAGAACTAGGTTCGCAATAATAGGGGACAATGGGGAGCCCATAGGACTACCAAAAGCTTGTTTATAAGTTTTGTTATTAAAAGTAAAAAATGTAGAATCAAGAACAAATTCCAAAGCCAACATAAACTCGTTGCGAGGAATCCCAATGGAATCGCCAATATAATGCCAAGAGTGGGTTTCGATTGACCACGGTACGATTAGACATAATTTGTAATAATTGGTTCGACCTAGTAATTCACTAGATAATTCTTTTCATCGATTGGTTATATCCAATCGTACCGTGGTCAATCGGAACGCTCCCTAATGCCAAGTTTGTCAACCGAAGTTAATGCTAGATGAAGAGGAATATTAGTAAATAAAGAAATAACATCCAGAGAAACCAGTTTATGATGTTCCTCGAAATGTCTAAATGAAAGATTGTTAACTAAGTCAAAGCTATTGTTAATTTTACTTTTAGCCGGGGGAATTTTTTTTGTAAATAATTTTATGCAAAAAAACTGCAAGATTATAAAGGGGGCTATTAATAGAAGAAATAATTATTCAACTCAACGGGTGTCCCTCCTTATGTATCATAGGTAACCCATAAGCCCTAGGAAAATTCCCCTCACCGGATTTTAAGAATCTATAAATGGCATTATTGATGTAATTTTTAACTTTCCATCTAGTTAAGATGATATAAAAATGACATAAAGATCTTTAAAAAGTTTTTTTTTTACAGCATACAGGAACACCGTTTGAGAAAAAACCATGATTTCAATTGGGATCAAGCCAAAGTTTTGAAGGAACGTTGCATGAGGAACGTTATTACTTAAAACGCCTGATATCAGAAATAATTTACATTAAATTTCAAAAACATGGACTTAACTCTCAAAAGGACACAGAATATTTGGGCAACAGCTACTGCGGCTTATTATGAAAGTAAAACTCTGTTTCCTTCTCTTCCACGAGTCATCGCCGCAATGTTAATGCTCGTGTATATAAATCTGTTATTATCTCTATTACTTAGACGTGGCGATGTTATCGTTAACAGGATCGTTTCACTTTTAGCCGAGCTCAACAAAGGTAATTTATATTGACTGTTTTAATTATTTATTATATTTTAATCATACCTATTTTTATTTTATTTTATGGTTTTTTTTATAGTTATGACGGCTACTTCCTAGTATTAATTTGAACTTCTTAATATTTGTCGGGTAACGGTCTTGTCAGCTATAATACTGCGAATAACATTCATGTCATTTTATTAAGGTCTTTAATTAATTCTTTTACTTGTAATGCGTTTGTTTTGTAAACCTTGAGTTTTTATATCACTGAAGAGGGTTCATGATTGAGCCGAAACGTTTGAATATTCATGTTCAATAAATATTGCTCTATTTACTAATACAAGGAAGGTTTTACCCATATGGTACATAGCACTATTAATCCTGTGCTTGAACTCGAATTAGCCCTTATTTCCTATTATTTAAGTATATATAACAGTATAACAGTATAGTATCCAGCGAAAAATGATTCGTTGATTGACATCAAAATGACATCAAATAGACGTTGAAATCGTCAGACCGACGTCAATGTGATATCATTTTGACGTCAATCAACGAATCATTTTTCACTAGATATATAGATGTCACAAACATGAAGTCTTAAATAGCTCAGTGGAAAGAGCAGTTGTCTAGCAAGCGAAAGACCCGAGTTCGATCCCAGCCGAGTCTGATGTTTTTCATCTCATATGGCATTAAAAGTGGACATCTACAGATACACACAAGAGCAGAGCGCACCCCCGGCCAAAGTTTCTAATCTTTCTTTCGTGTACAATAAAATTTATTAAATCCGAAGAAATCTTTTTGAATTGAAGTAATTCTATATGAATACTCTAAGAAGTTCTGAGAAACTCCAATCATGGTGCATGTAACTTTCTAAATCATTCTTATAGTATTCTTCCACGAATTCCTAAGGAAGTGCAATTCAGGAAAGGAGGAAACTTTAGGAACATTTAAAGAATTCATCGTGCTATCTAGGCATGAATTGCTGTGGAAAATTACCTGGAATTTTTCAACAGGATTTGGTTAAACAGTCATTGATTCGACGTCTTTTCAACTGATAATTTCTTATTGGATATAAATGTAAACATTATATGAAGTAAAACCAATAAAAATGTATAGGCTTTAGTGAACAATTTTTAAATATGCAGTAGCGAACGTGTTAAATATTTTGTAACTGTTTTATAGAAGGAATATTTTATTGGCAAGTTTGCCTTGCAACGGCAAAAAGACCAAGGAATGACAAAGCGATTAGTTTTATTAGTGCTTAATGGAATAGATATAAATAAAGACGTATGGGCATGGGGAGGTGAGCCGTTATATCGGAATGGCCAATTCGTTGGTACCGTTACTTCGACTGGGTAAGTACTTCGTTGTTATTTTTCATTGGATGATTATATATTATATTATTCTTTTAGCTACGATTTCGTAATTGAGAAGCTGATTTGCCTTGGATTTATCAGTTTACCTGGAACAAGACACGAGCAAGAAATAAAACTTGTTACTACGAATTTTATAATGGGTCCATCGGCACGTTATGAAGTAGATATCGCTGGCACTAGATTTCCCGCTGAACTACATGTTTATCCTTTGCCAATACCGGCAATAAATAGCAAATTAAATAAAAAATACATAACTACTCCGGTTATTTCATATCAGACCGACGTCTTGTGTTAGAGAGATAATACTCTTTCTAGTCATTTATTTATTTATAGCAAATGTATTTATACAAAGTTCAGGCCATCTGTATTTAACAATTTGAAGAAAATTTTTTTTCAAATTATTATCTGTGTAACACAATAATAATTCCTTGAAATAATATACTATATAACTTATCGTCTTCTGTTTACGAATACTTTCCTTGACGGACATCGGAACGTAGCCGACACTCATCATTGAACAAATATTTTCTGTTTTAAAAAATGTTCGAAAATTTTCTTAATGGATATTGAATACAAAAATCATTCTGCAAACGAATAGACACAAAAATGAAATTTATTTTTTCTATTCAAGATATAGACTGGTGTATGTGTGCTTGCGCGCGTGTTAT